GTAGCTTCTTGTTCCTAGTAGTAAGGCCAGGAGCCCCTAGTAGCGTCTTTTTTTGGTTTCTCTCTTTGGAATGTCAACACTTCAGCTCCAGTTTTGTGCATCAAGGCACTGACGTGAAAAGATTGCCTCAGGAGGCACGGAGTCACTCCCTGATTCTGTTTTCCGGATGTGTTTCACATGCTTTTCCTGTAGTTTTGATGTTGTTTTCTTGTTTTTTGTTGCTTCTTCGTTTTGTTTATTCTACTTTGCTGCGTGCGTCCGAGACTGTTACATGCCGCAAGGAAGACATACCATAGGGGCATAGGTAGGAAGACGAGACGAGTGCGACGGAAATACCCATAGGCAAGCGCCTTGGTGAGGCACAGCACTGTGCGTGTTTGGTCACCACCTGACAAAATAGCCTTTCTGACATTTTTTTTGGCGCCTTCCATTTGGTTTTTGGCGTCCCTGGTGGCCTATTTGGGCCCCTTATAGACACAGCGCAATGTTTCGCTTGTTACTAGTAGCTTCTTGTTACTAGCACTATGGCCAGGAGCTACTAGTAGCAATGCCCTTTGTTACTAGTAGCTTCTTAGCCACAACTCCCAGAAAGTGTCACAAAATGTCTGCCGGATGCGTCACTACTCGAGCAATGAGACGAGCTTGCAACCAGGAGAGGAAAGGAGTCTTCTTTTCAAAGGACCGAGTTGGATCCCTTTCAACTTTTACTAGTAGCGATGCCAGGAGCCCCTAGTAGCTTCTTGTTTCAATCTATTCGGTACTCGGTAGCAAAGTCGCAGAGTCGAAGCCAATGCAGTCAAAGCCAATATACTCGGTGCACTCACCATGGTTTAAAGGCACAGTTCGAGGACACAAGATCCACACAGTTCCAAAAAACGGTTTATCGACTCCTGAAGCACCCTTCGCGGCCAAAAAGCTACGTTTGAGATGTGTTGCACTGCCGGTTCTTGCTTTGTGAGGCCAAAAGAATTGACTTGCTCAAAGATCACACCATGGAGGCCTGGACTTGATTTTAAGCTAGGAACAAGGGCATCGCTACTAGGAGCAAGGACGCTACTAGTAGCTCCTGGCAATACTACTAGTAACAAGAAGCAATTCGTAGCTAGAAGCTACCAGGTTAAAGCATCACGTTCTGGATTTGATATTGTAGTCTTCCTTTCGACATGGTGTCGTTCTTTGCGCTACACACGGCTGGTGGTGACATTGGATGACCCTACTGGCTAGGACTTATTAGCTTGGATTCTGGAATTTATTGAAGTTGGGGCTCCTGGCATCGCTACTAGGAGCAAGGACGCTACTAGGGGCCCCTGGCATCGCTACTAGGAGCAAGGACGCTACTCGGGGCTCCTGGCATCGCTACTAGGAGCAAGGACGCTACTAGTTGGGATTCAAGCATGTTCCGTTTGAATGCTCCTCTGTTCCGTTGCAGGTGGGCCGCCAGCACCAAGTCGCGCTCTTCGACAAGCTTTTGCAGGCTCGATAGGAAACCGTTGCGATCAGGAAAAAGAGCTCGGTGTGCTTTGGTTATAGCTATTGGCTCCTAGTAGTAAGGTGCTTTGCTCCGTTCGTAGCGATGGCCTCCAACCGAATAGTGTCCTTGCTCCGTTCGTAGCGATGCCCTTTGCTACGTTCGTCGCTTCGAAAGTCGGAGGCCAATGCAAGCTGGCTGACCTTTATTTCTCGGACACACTTGAAGGTGCTCTAAGACTCGAAGTGGGAATCGGAAGCGAAGTGAAAGAGTATCTAGCATTTAAATGAAGGTCTACAGATCTAAAGAAAAAGAGGAACCATAATTCGTTTAAAAACTGAATAGACTGAACGAAGATAAAAGCATTTGAGCTTAGGAAGAAGGTTTGCAGCTCGCTCTAGGTGTGCTTGGGCACCGAGAGTCTCCAGGTCTCAGTTTTAGTCGGTCGATTTTGTGCTTTGCAGAATTCAAGACTTGTTTGCTACTAGTAACCAGTGCATCGCTTCTAGTAACAAGTGCCTTGCTAGTAGTAACAAGAAGCTACAACAAGATACGGGGAAGAAGGGAAGAAATGCTGAAAGAAAGAAAGAATCACTGGTGCACGCAGCCGCTTGGATCACGGTGGCTGAAGTCCAAATGGAAGAGGCGGGGCGGCAGGGCGCGCTGCGAAACCGAAGCAAGTGAAATAGATCAGTCAAATTAGAACGGATTAAAACCATTAGGACAAGTGATAGTACTAGTAACAAGAAGCTATTAGAAACAAGTGCATCCCTTCTAGTAACAAGTGCCTTACTAGTAGTAACAAGGACGCTAGTAGGAGCAAAGGGCATCGCTAAAACATACAAGTGATAAAACCATGAGGACCGTTTGATACAAGAATAAGTCGATCCTTCAGTAGCATAGAGAAACGCTTAGCATAGTGTGGACCAGGTGCGCAGAATGTTAAATAAGCAAAAAAACGGAGAAAGATGTTGACTTACATATTTGTCATTTGTTTGTTTCTTTGTTTATTGATTATTTTTTCTAGACCCGTTTAGACGTTTCAGTCTTTTTGTGAAGACTTTTCTTGTCGTTTGTTGCGAGCGAGAACAAAAGCGCCATGCCTCCAACCAGTCAAGCGGGGCGAGCGGAAGAATTCCTCGAAGTTCCACGAACAGAACGGTCAGGTAACCTTTAAAAATCAAGAAAAAAGACTTTAAGGAACCTAATAGCAATGGCCTCCAACCTAATAATGGCGATGTCCTCCAACATAAAGCGATGGCCTCCAACCCACGAGCGTCAGGTGGACAATGGCGCGGACAAAGTTCAGTCTGTCATGGAAGTGGCTTGGAGAAAAAGTTTTGCGAACCTTGCTACTACTAGCTTCTTGCTACTACTAGTAAGGCACTT